TGATGACTAGTCCATCCCATCCACTATACTAAATCACCCAAAGCCAACCCTTATCATTCAAATATTTATCAAGCCTCCTCTTAAACTCCCTTAAATTAACTGTATGTACTACATCTGAAGGCAATCTATTCCAAAAACAAATCACCCTGTTAGAAAAATAAAGTTGTCTTAGTTGAAGATGACTTCTAGCCTGCCAGAATATACGTGTCCTCTAGTTTTATCATCTCACCAATAAATATGAAAAAAGATGATGCATTAACACTCAATCAGATCCCCTCTAACTCTTCTTTTTTCAAGAGAAAACAATTTCAGAAATCTTAACCTGTCCTCGTAAGACAACTTTCGTATCTCAGGTATCATCCTTGTAGCCTTCCCCTGAATCCTTTCAAACAATTCAATATCCTTTCTAAGGTAAGGAGCCCACGACTGAATATAACATAGCCTAACCAGTGACCTATACAATGATAATATAATCTCTTTAGGCTTGTATTCAATATTTCTGTAGATACAATGTAAAGTCCAGTTTGTCCTGCCTCTAGCAACACTACATTACTTGTAGGACTGATCATCTGAGTTAATATACAAAAGATCAGAAAATCACAGACAACTCACTTTGATGTTCTAGCACCAAACATGATAACAAATTATTGGAAATTAATGACACAGACACTTTTTTTTAGTGTGCTATAATTTTGTTTATATAAATATGACAAAAAAGAATTTTGGTACTTCAATTTTTGGATATTTAGTAACAACCACACTAAGTTTTAATTTCTATTTAAAGCTTAGAGGCTGGAAAACTCTGGGAGAAGTTGATTTTTAAACAACCTTGTGTGATTGGGAAAGTTTGAGATTATAGGCCTAATACGTGCCTCTGTAAAACTAGTGTTCATGAAATCTTAGTACATCTCAACTGAATTGAGGTCTTATATCACGAGACAGTTTAGCTGATAAAATATCTTTAAAAATTTTTTTTAGTCCAAAACACCAGTTGTTTCAGTTTTTTAGTAAAGTAAAAAATTTAAGAAAAATGTGTTAAAGTTGGTTTGTTCCAATGAGCATGATGACATGCAAAACTTGCATAATGAAATCTACTTAAACAAATATTCCCAATAATTGTAATGATCCAATTTTTTAAAATGACATGCCGTGCACACAAAAAAAAAGCCACAGGATAACGTTTTTTTTTATATCTAAAATTTTCTTACATTGCTAAATGTAGAGTTGAGTACTTAGTGGAATAAGCTAACTGATAAATTACTGGTTTCCTTAATTTATTACATTCAACTAATCTCTCACAAGACTAATTTTCCTATTTTCAGTCTGTTTGTTTTTTTAAGACATTTTCAAATTACCTTCAATTCAAATGTGATAAATAACTTCAGGTGCAACAACTTAGGATTAAGTTACTTTTCTTAATCCTAAACTGTTGTACATGAAAATGTATCATACATGCAACATAGTACGAGTTTGTTTGTTTTGAATTTCACACAAAGCTACAAAAGCTATCTGTGCTAACATAGTACGAAAGCTGTAAGCAGACGAAAATACAATTAATATCATACTGCAAGTTTCTCCATACAAAGTTTCACAAGACCACTCTATTTAAGCTACTGATTTTTTTTAAATGAAAATAAACATTCCTTTATGATATTAATTGCAAGTCAGAGATATACTAAACATACTAATGACTAGTGTCAGTGATATTACTATTAGACAGAGGTTAACACAAGTTAAGTATCCTTAGTTCTAAGGAATGGGCTTACGATTCGATACAAACACAATTACATCTAGGTTATCAATCATGTGTACACTTTAAGAGATAATCTGGGGATTAATGGAAATTGGTAACTGATTAATTTGTCAAAATTATTAAGCAATTACAATAAATTATGTCACACGACATGGATCGTTGGAAAAATTAAAAACTGTAATAATCTGATACACTAATTTTGATTAGTTGATTATTACCATGACATTAATCAATCTAATTATAATTTCAATTAACTAATTAACTTATGGGGCATTAATCAATGCTCATAGGTAATCAATTATATTGATTAGATTTCAAATCACTGGGCCACCAAATTAATCAAAAAATAATAATAATGGAAAAATCATAATGGTATTATTTCAATTGGTTTGATAGTTATAATAATCAAAAATGCCAATAATCTGAAACAATCACTTTGATTAATTGATTATTCTAAACGACAGTTATTGATGTTTCAAGGTAAGCGACACAGAAAACTTAAGAGTGGGGGCTGAAGTACAAGCTTACATGTGTATATAAGTAGAGACAATATATCTGGTAAGGCTGGATGATTAGTTAAATTACTAACTGATTAATTGGTAGGCTCATTAATCGATTAAATTCAACTAATAGATTATTCTCGCAAGACTTGAATGGTTGGAATAATCAAAAATAGTAATAATTGAAAACAATAATTTTGGTTTGTTGATTATTTTCATGAGTCCTGATACTAACTGATAAAACAAACTTGAATTAATCGAAAATAAAAATGAGAACTCCTAATTGCAATATTTTCAAATTTTCCATAATTGGAATAACTGAAAACAGTAATAATTTGAAAAACTAACTTTGGTTAGTTGACTATTTGGGACATTAATGAATTTACTTATAATCTTAATTAATCAGTTATTTATGTGAAACTAATTGATGCTTATAAGTCGTTGATAACATCCTGATAGTTTGTTGGAAAGAAAGAAAGTAACAAACAGCAGATACAATGTCTTCTGTTACAGATACACATCACAAAAAAGTTGTGACTCAGTTCACAGGCAAAGATAAATAAATTTAACTGAATATTCAAATCATTAGCATGCAACATCACTTACTCAATTACAATTCCATCAACTGTTATGTTGCCTGTTCCAACTTTTAATATTGGCCTATTTAGTTATTTTTGTACCATGAAAAGTGCCTACTTTCAGTACGTGTATTATAGTGACAGATCCCCTGATTTTGAACATTTGTAATAACGTGCATGAAACAACATTTTATAAAACTAATGCTTACTTTACCCATAATTACAAAGTATGTGTAGAAGAAAACACCACCTCTCAGCTCCATCTGACACTTATTTCTTAACGGCTCCATACCACCCTCTCACATTTTCCTAGGCTTTCAGACAAGTAAAAATTTTACATCACCCGTACTACAGGTAAAGCTGCTATTACAAAAAATTCTGAGTTGTGCGTACATAACAGGAAAGTGGTCTATAAGAATTCTACTTTGCTTTAAGGCCAATATTAGTATTTTTGTGTAGATTGCTTGAAAAATACCCATCATATTTATAATAATATTTTTCATAAACTGATACAAATTCAAAGAGGAATATTTCCCAATAACTGCTAATAAGAAACTACAATAAGCCTTTCAAGTATATTTCTACAACATTCTGATACGCTATTAGACTATGTCCTGCAAATCATTTCAAAAACATTATATTTATAGTATTAAGTAAATGTTTATATGTTCAAACTAGGATCCAGTAATTGTTTACTGGATCCTACATATAATTTACTGACAAAACATTCCACTGGTTCATAAATTTTTGGGTGTCTTTCATTCTAGTAATCTCATTACTGAATTACTTTTAACCAAATCTTTATAATATCAACTACAGTTAATCTACAATATCATTATTAGTTGCATAAAACCTGCAAAATGTCAGATAAAAAGCATATGTAGAGTTTTCCCTATTAAAAACGGCTGCCTAAGACAAATTTAGTGCTTATAAGTATAAATCAAATATTGTCATGTACGCATAGCTGCAATAAATACTAGTAATACTTCAGCAAGCAAAATTCAAGGTCCAATGCCATACATCTAACCATGTTGTTCATATATATTACATTTATTAACTTCACATTTTTTGATTAAGTTACAGTCTGTACCCGAAACAATAAACATTGGGGATGAATAATATATATATATATTAATACTATTGAATTTTGCAACTGTGTTAAACTTAAAATTAAAAGTCAAATTATTAAACGTAATCAAAACTTCATAACAAATTTAAGGACGTTTACATTTTTGATAACATGTACTATAAGTTATGACTCACTTTATCTCGATTGGAATAGTTAACAGTTTTGAACCAGGTATCGCCCAATAACGTTACAAATTTAGCTTTTATTTTAAAAGATGGGTAATATTAACAGTTACTGAGTTAGGCCTAAAACTAAACATAAGCATCACAAAACCTAACATTAAGCCTAACGAGACTAATATTACAGAACGATTACCTTAACTTGTTGCATCATGAAAGACACGTCATTATGTCATTAAAATATTGTAAAAACAGAAAACCTAAAACGTTAAATAAAAGAAAAGAAAATTACGTCACATTAGGTACGATTAAAGAAATGTTCAATATAAAAAAAAAGTTAATTTCTTACGTTGTTAGTATATCTCGTGAATGTAAAGGTCCGTTACCCAATTAAAGATAAAAATAGCAGCGCCACTTGTGGTATTTTTTATTAAATAAACTATTTTATACTTTTATACATAAACTATTTTCTGTTTCTTTTTTCCAGAGCAAGAATATTCTAATGTTAACTGTTATAACATATTGTAGGATACATTTAAGATCAGGTTTTCGCTAAAAATCAAATGTTTTTCCTAAAATTTCACTTATAGTTATATATATATATATATATTGTTACTTGAGGGGGAAAATAACTTTTTTCAAAACGCCCTATAAAAGATTTTTCAAACGAATTTCTTTATTTATGGAGAAAAACTGTACATTCAGAAGAAAAGAAAAAAAAATCATAATTCGTTTTGTTTTCATGTAGAGCATTCTTAAATATTATGAGGACCACAAGCTGTCTACCAGTTCAAATTATTTCTAGTTTTCAGTTGTTGTTTTTTATGTGAGCGATTCACCGTAAATCTGTAGAGTACTATTTAATGAGTGCAATAGCATATTCTTACGTCTTCATTATTAATTTATCGTATACGCTAAAACCAGCTTATTGTTCCCAATGTTGCTGTGGTGAAAACAGAGGCGTCGCTAGGTGCTTAGAAAAATCAGGCTCGTGCCCAAAGGAGCACGAATATTCGGCGTTTCGGTTTATATTGATTTCGATTTTACATGACACCAATTGGGGATTCGGGGCATGGGTCCCGTGTACCAGTGCCTAGCGACGCCTTTGGTGAAAAAGAATTAGTAAAAAACATTCTTAGTGACTGGTGTCCTAAACGTGGTGTAGTAAATACTACCGGTGTGCAAAATGTAAATAAAAAATTAACCTCTTTAACTTTCTTACTGAATTAGATCCAGATCAGGGTTAATGGGTTAACATCCTAGCACTAAGGATTTGTATAACTTTAAACAAGGAGTGGATAAAAGCAGTTTATCGCTTTTTCTCGTCTAAAAGGAGACAAATTATTAAAAAAGATTTACTTGAATACATGTTGTTGTTGTTTAAATTAGATACAGTTTAAGTAATTGAAGTCACGTGGGATAAGCACGTGGGGTATCTTTAAAACATACCACTTAAAGTCAGTTTGTATAATTATATACTTTAACTGAAAAAAGACCTTATCGCGCTTTTAAATTCGTCAAATTATATTAGGTTTCTTTGCACATGTTTTTAAAGAAAAACTTTCTATTCAAAGATAGACATCTATTGACTCCCATCCGAACTAAAATGTTTTCTCACATATAACTATTCAATATATTTATCATCTTTCAGATCAGTCTTCTCATTTTTACACTTTTTAACTATTTAATGTAAATATTCGTTAATTGTTAAACATTTGATATTTCATTTGAAATGAACCAAAACATAACTATCAACAAATAGGTGACGAAGATTCTAACCCGCAGATTGCAAGTCGAGCGCCCTAACCACCTGGCCATGCCGGGCCTTTGAAATATCAGAAACGAGAATGCTAGAAATTTAAATTATCATCAACATTTTAGTCCGGATGGAAACCAATAGATGTCGCTATAAAACCATCTATCTTTGAACAGAAAATGTTGTACAAAGAAACCTAATTCCATTTGACGAATTTAGAAGTGCGGTAAGGTCTTTTATTTTTAATTAAAGTATATTATTGTACAAACTGACATTAAATAGTATGTCTTAAAGATGTTTTGAATTTCGCGAAAAGCTACACGAGGGCCATCTGCGATAGCTGTCCCTAATTTAGCAGTGTAAGACTAGAGGGAAGGCAGCTAGTCATCACCACCCACCGCTAACTCTTGAGCTACTCTTTTACCAACAAATAGTGGGGTTAACTGTCACATTATAACGCCCCCACGGCTATCGCAGATAGCTCTCTTGTAGCTTTGCACGAATTTCAAAACAAACAAACAATCCTATATTTCAAACATATATATATTAATGGTTTCTTCCGCATGCTTGAGAACGGAAATGCCATTGAAATGATGCATGTATTGAAGTGTGTGTCACCGCAACAACCGCCAATTCTTGAGTTACTCTAATCGAGTAATTGGAATTTGATCCTCACATAAAACGCGACCGTGGAGTGCAGTTTTATTTTTGTTTGGCAACAACGGATGACGTACCACAAATCTATAAATCCACAGTCCGGCACGCTAGCCAGTAGGCCATGCCGGCCCATTGTATGTTGTAACAAGCCCCATCGATTTGTATGTAAAACAACATTAATATTATATGAGTGTGCGGGTTGATTCGTTAGATTTCGGAGTTGACGAGCCGGCCTCGAATTCGTGCGAAACCGTCAAATTATCGACATTTGTACTATTTAAAGGGTAACTGGTAGGAGTAATTGCAATACTGATAGTATTGCTCTTTAATTATTATTATTATTCTTTTTTTGCATGGTCGACGCGTTATAAAAGATTTTGTTATCGACAAAGTCATAGACCCCAAATCAATTTGTTGTTTAAATAGTTGAGAAAAGTGGGCTTAATTCTAAGATCAAAACTCATTTCATGCATGTTCTTCCATTTTTTTCCCTAATAGGTCAGTGGTAAGTTCCAGGCTTACAACACTAAGATCAGTGGTTCGATTCCATGTGGTGGACAGATCTTAGATAATCAATTCTGCAGCTTTGCGCTAAAATAACAAGTTAACATTTTGTGTATGGTAATAGTCTATAATATACAATAAATGTGGATTTCATGTTTGTTTCGTACGTTTATTAATGCAATGGAAATAGGATTCATTTTATGATTTAATAAGGATGAGTGGTGAAATCCAGCTGCATGTCGGAGAAACAAATTTCTGATTCATTGAATCTAATAAGTATTCTTAAGTTTAAATGAATACTGCTTGTTAATAAAAAAAAAATTAATAATCCCCCCCTCCAGTGACTTAGCGGGGAGGAAAAGGTCAAACGCACCTGACCCTCCCAGGTCTTAAATGACGACGTCCCGATGCTGAGAGAGTGGATTTCAATACCAATAGTAGACACATTACTGATAACCTACTTTGTAGCTTTGCGCTTAACAGCAAAATCTAATTATAATTCTACCCCGTTTAGTTTTGATAAATACGCACTAAACAGTCCCCAGTCAACAGATTTACAACACTAAAATCAGGGGTTCAATAACCCTTGATGGATACAGCAGATAGCCCGATGTGGCTTAGCTATAAGAAAAAAAAACATACACACACTAAACATAGGCGTCATTGTCATGGAGGGCATTCCCCCTCACTTTATCTAGGATAGAATACTCTCATGCATACCCGAGTTACAGAATTTGTCACCCCCACAAACATACTTTTGAAATCAAAGTTACTCCACTGGCACTAAGCCTTTAGAGGCTTAAGCAAAACACTGTTATTGGTGAAGGTTTGTTTGTTTGTAATTAAGCACAAAGCAACACAACGGGCTATCTGTGTTCTGTCCACCACGGGTATCGAAACATGGATTCTAGCGTTGTGAGTCTGCCGACATACCGCTGTGCCACTGGGGGGCATTGGTAAAGGTGAATACATGACTGAGCTTCAGCGGACGAGAATATATGAAACATTTTTTTATTATTATTCAATGTGACATTCATACAAGACATTAAGGATTTGTAAAATACAAATTGTTTAAAATGTTCGTCGTTATTCGTGAATAATACAAGCATAGAAATCTTTAGACTTCTTTTTTTTTTTCGTCAATTACACACTTTACAAGGCCTGCTTATAAACACGTCGGGCCACAATTCTTGTGAAAAGTTGTTTCATATAATAGTGGAGCGAAAGATGGGTTCCTAAAATATCTAAGTTAGTATAAAGGAATTTTTGTATATATATCAGATTATTAACAAAAGCTAATGGCGTCTAATGTCCGAGTTTGGGACATAAATCTTGATATAACTTTATTTCCTTTTTGTAGAAGTACTGTTGTTAGACTGGAGATTATTCAAATAATTAATATTTGAATACTAACCAGAAAACACAAAAGTCTAACAGGTGAAAAGCGTGAGTGAATTATTCCTGATCTTATGTTAATATTGCGATGATATAAATCTACGTTTATGTTTATTGTAACACTGGGAAATGAAAGTAGGCCCAATCATTCTTATTAGTTGGGAAAAGGAACGAAGACTTCAACGATTTCACTTTGACTTTCCGCGGGAGAAACTTCACTTTCATCTGAAGGAATCTGGTTGTTGTTATTCTCGGGTTTTGGAATAAGTTTATCTAGAATGAGCTTTCGAAACATCTTCATTTCCTGAAGAACTTCTTGAGAAGGAAAAGGTTTGATGACTGGTTGTTCTTCTGAACGTGGCGGAAGTTGTTGTGTATTTTGTTCGGTTCTTTCATCATTGCTGCTTTCGTTATATACAAGCACGACGCCTCGTTCTTCTTCCTGTTCTTGGTCTTCTTCAGAACGTAGACCTTCACGGTAAGGCAACTGCTGTTCTTCGTCTGAGGAAGTGGACATGCTTTCCATAGATACTGGAACAGGAATCGGGACAGGGATAAGAACCGGTACTATTTGTTGTTTTGGATACATACCATGTTGTACTGGTTGAGCTATTGAAGACAATGGTTCTGGTAAAAAGTGATGTTCGGCTGGAATGGGCTGGTTCTGCATCACCAGTCGCATTTGTTCTGGTGCACCAAAAAATTGGGGACGTGTTTGGAACTGTTTCATTTGAAGATGTTCATTTTGAGCCATCATGTCAGGAAAGAAAATGGGGGCCACAGGTGGCTGAGAATAGGGAAGGGGAGAAGCAACAGGACTTCTATATCTAAGGTGTTGTTGATAAAAAGGGTGAACACCATACAGCGTTGGCGGTGAAGGGTATGTTTCTGTTTGAGGATTATAAAGAGGTTGTAGTCTTGGATCTCTATATGCTAGAGGTGAGTGCTGAGGGTAGCCCAACAGTAACAATGTTGGATGTAGAGGAGGGAGAGCTGGAGGACCATAATAACTTTGAGCGTAAGGAACTGAAGTATGGATCTGGTCTTGGTAGAGAGAAGCAGGTGGATCTATAGGAGAAGGAGGCTTAACAGAGAAACCGGAATTTACATGAATGGGATGTTTCTGTGACCGAGAAAAGACTAAATTTGGTTGTATGTTGACGTCTGGCCTTCGGATTGATCTTGGCTGAAATTGTGGAGGAAGAAAGGCCATGCTTGGTTTTATTCTATTATCAGGTCTTCTGATAGGCCCTAAATGAACTGGTGAAAATGGTCTGACTTGAGGTTCCTCTGGTGGATTTTTCTCTTCTTCGGTTTCTTTGTCTGATTCTACGACAAGAATTTCATCTTTTTCGTTGGAAGATTGTCCTTCCACCTCCTCATCTATGTCATTACCGATAATCAAAGCACGCCTGATCAATATGGACTCTGCCATTTGAGAAAGTGGAAAGGGCAGAAACTGAAGATCAGATCTAGACTCTGGTTTTAGAGGAAATGGGACAGAAAGTCGCTCTTGTTTAAAACTAGATTTCGAATAAGCTGGGGGGAAACGAAATGGTCTGGGTTTGTCTTCTGGAATAGGTTTTGGTTTTCTGAGAAAAGGATGGAATGGTGATTCCAAGCCCAAAATTTTCCTTAAGTCTTCTTCTTTTGGTCTTCTGTTTTCTGGGATTATAGCCTGTTCTGGGGTTTCCGTTTCTTCGAAAGGTTGGGGTAAAATACCGATTAACGTTTTTTCTTCTTCCACAGTGTCATCCGTATTTGTAACATCTTCTTCAATCTCTTCTTCCTCTTCTTCATCCTCCTCAGTTCTTTCTTCTTCATCATCCTTCTCAGTTCCTTCTTCTTCATCATCCTTCTCAGTTCTTTCTTCTTGTTCAGTCTCTTCTTCTGGGATAATCAGAAGTAATGCCTCATCAGTTTTATCATCATCGTCGTCGTCCTGCTTGGTTTCTTCATTGACTTGGAGTTTTGGGGGCTCAACAACTATTGAAGTACCTTCTAGTGATTCAGCTGTCATGTACTGGTCTTGTTCCCTTGTATTTTCTGATGTTTCGTCCAAAGGATAAGCTAACACATAACCAGAGCTCGTAGAATCTGGGGCAAAGGTTGATAGGATACCTGAATTGCTGGCACTTTGAATCTACAGTAACAAATAAACAAAAATGCCAGATTTTGTAAAAAAGAACCACAGAAACGGTGCTAATAATTATAGATTATTAAATAATTCTTAAGATTTATTACAGATTATATGGAAAGCTTTTCAACAATTTTCTTTTAAATTATGAATGATATAAGCACTGAAACAGAATTGGAAATTTTTAAACTTATTGTTTTGTACAAATAAATTTCTTGAGATAACTGTTTGTAAAAAGAAATGTATTGCGGAAATCAGCATTTTGAATTTTGAAGACACCAGCACCTCTGTAGAGATAAGTCGAGTCACGCGAAAAGTTTTAGGCTATAAATGATTATTAAGTGGCAGAAATTATATCATTCATACACGTGGTGTCACTTAGAAACATGGTTCCTGATTAAGATAGATACTGTAACCTTAAACAATTTTGCCTCTCCTTTAGGAATATGGAAGTAAAATAAATTTTGAATGGAAGTTTTTGGCGTTTTACAAATTTGTAGTGCAAACTGAAGGGATTTAGACATTTTGGCAATAAAGAAAAATAAAGGCCTTTACTCTCCATGAATAAATAAAAAGTTTTTAAAAATTATTATTCTCTTTATTACCAAAAGTTTCTGATGTGTTATTTCAAACAACTAAAACCTGTAGTATGTATGAAATAACTCGTATTGAGAATTTATTATTTGGAACGTATATCAAAATACAGGCTTAATATCAATAGTTTAAAAAAGGTTAATTTATATTTATTAACTATTGGTTTCACCAAAAGATGGCAGCACGTACCAATGTTTCTACAGCGTCATCCCTCTCATCTGCCTTCACTACGACTAGTGAACCTGAAAAAAACGGTATAAATATTATTTATCAATCTATTAGCAGTAATCATTTAACATAGTTGATTTAGTAAAATATGCAAATTTGGGACTTTAACAGTCTTCCTAACTAAGAAATGTTGCACTGACGCTTACTAAAACCTGCTGAAAAGTAAGCTTGCCACGTAGATGCGAATTTGTGGTTTGTTTTTGATATTCGACAAGCTACACAAGAGCTATCTGCGCTAACCGTCTATAATTTTCAAAAGATAGGCCAGAAGGAAGGAAGCTAGTGAACAGCACACACCGCCAACTATTGGGCTACTCTAATCGAATAGCGGTATTTCACCATCACTATTAAAGCTCACTCAAGATCCAAAAGTACGGAATGCGGTCTTATGGCAACGGGACGCGAGCCATGAACTCTCGGATACATAATCTGGCACACCAAAAAATAGGCTACGACTGGCATAAATAAAAATATTCAGGATAACAACCGAAAAGGAAATACTTAATTTTTATGAACCAACAAACTAGAAAGCTAAACCAATAACGATTATATAACAGTGGATCATTAGCCAGATATTATCGTTGATAATGATATTTTCGGCTGTAATCCTAATAATATCTATGTTCGAGCAGCTTCACTTCTCTTTTTTCGTTGAATTTCGCGCAAAGCTACTCAAGGACTATCTGCGCTAGCCATCCGACTACACTTCTAAGACATTCTAATAACACATTCACGGCTCCAGAGTTAGTACTCTCGATTTTTTTATTTTTTGACGATATCGTGACGCGAACCATGAATCTAGAGATCCATAGTACGGCACGCTAACCACTGTGCCTTTCTCAGCCCGTCCAGTTTAGAATACTAAGGTTAGTCCTAAACCCACGCACTAAAACAAAAATGCAGAATTTTCATATTGATTATATTTCTAAAGCACTATCTCACGCATTCATTCTGAGAATAGGTAATTAATCCCCTTTGTGGATTTTTAACACGCTAAGATTGAGAATTGGTTTCTGTTAAAGGTGTAGTAAATGAAGTGTACATATGTATCTTTATTCTGAATTTATACCTATCCAGGAGTTTAAATGCTTCTATTTATTCTTATGATTAACATTATAAAATGTTCCCATTAAATTCTTTCACGGCGTTGCAAGAGACACGATTTTATTCCAGAAATCGATCAGCATTGAAAGTGTCAAAAACTTGAAATACGCACTACTTCTTTTTATGGGCAAGTAATAAATTAATGAGGCTAAAAGTGTTATAAATGTGACCCGTATCAATACATGCACATACAATCCACATCTATGGTTATTAATTTCGTTACTGAGGCCTAAAGGTACACAAGCGAGTCTGTTGAAACGCCCTTTACAACAGGCGTTACGTCTTGAAAGTTCAATGCATCGACAAAAATTTGACCTAAACGAATTAGGGAAATTTGCCTTAGGTGTATTTGAAGACGTTCACCCGCGTGGAAGTCAGTTTGGGGGTAAAGTCTTCTTTTAACCTAGAAACATCAATTCATCGGGGTTAATGGCAAGTGAGAGAAAATTCCCGAGAAAACTTTTCCAGGGAGATAGATAAACAGGCAATACAATAGGATGTATCTATCTGTCCGTCCGTTCATTTGTTACTGCTTAATTTCTCAAATATCAATAATAATGAATATCATTAGTTGTTTTATTATATTTTTCTCAACATGTAATCTTCTTAAATTGTCCGGTCAAAGACCCTACGGTACAGGTACAACCGACCTTAATTTTGAGCTACTGAGAACTGACCAATTTTAAGGCAGCCAGTTAGCAGCCCCCGTCGTCACAAGGTCTTTGTCCTGTTTTGAACTGAATAACGAGATTGGCTCTTACTATCAAAACACGCCCATGGGGCTTATTTAGCGGCATGAACTTTCGACCATCCAATCTACATCCAGCCACATTAACCATTTGGTCAAGCTAGATCCATAATATCTCTCTCTCTCTCTCTCTCTCTATATATATATATATATATATATATTTATACATACACACTAAAAGTTAGACCCACTGTAGTTAAAAATTATACTCACCCAAAAACAGGCCAATGAGAACCCAAGGTGTCTTCATGGTCAGAAGTTGAAAGCACGACGGCCGTGCTTTATTCGTTGTATCAAATACGGTTGAGTTGATTCACTCAGTACTGGGGAGAAGGCACGTTTCTAAAGTGTCTTGTTCCTAGTAGGAAATAGTTATTTTCTTAAACATCTAACAAATCTTGGAGTGTAGCTGCCGGATAATCATGTATGGTAATATTTATAACAAGCCTGTATGAGTTGTTATCTTCAGACAAGTTATAACTGGAATATATATCCTTCGTGCAAAATACATAAATATGCGTTTATTCACTCTACAATTGTAAAGTACGTATGTCCTTAAATACTTGTGAATACCAAACTTAAAATAGCGGCGAAAAATAGAATCAGTTAATAATAATCGTTCCAAGTTTAATCCAAACATATTTTATGTCTGGGTATTTTTCAACATATCGAACAAAAATAAATATATACACGTAGAAAATCGCTGGTCATAAAAATATCTAATCAGTAGAGTTAAGGTATCTTCGCTACAACTTGAAAAGCGGAACATCCAGTAAATTTTCGTTATTAACCGCACTAAAATATAATTAAAGTTACTTAAAATATCCAAGATTTAAGAATAATAATTGTGTATGTAAACAATTACCAAGAACTTCTTTACAGAATATAAAAGATTCAAGGAAAATAAGTTTGTATCTAAACCAGTAACATAAATAATTTTTATCAGAACATATAAGATTTAAAGAAAATAATTTTGTATCTAAATTAATACTACAAACTATTTCTAACAGATGTCTCACCTCTCTCGGCAACCAACTTGAAGTTAACAGTTTTGCAATTCAAATCTAGTAGTACTTCTGCAAGGTGTTGAAAGAAAATTTTGACTAAATGTAAAAGGTAACTTATATATTGTAGTTGCTTGTATAACTTCTGTATATTATTTCTCCCTTTGAGTTGTTAGCTCTGTGAAAAATCAGCTCTTAACTGAGGCTTATTCAGGTGAGACAAGCCCTAAAATAAGCCCAACCAAACCTAGTTTTAGCAAGGTCGTTTACTTTAGCCTACGGCTATTTTAGCCTTAAATTGTTAAGAATCGTCAGAGTCTGGTAACCTACATTCAGGCCAGACAAGCGTTTGGCGTGAACAGAAAAAGTCGCATCAGGTGTGCTTGATCCGAAATTATTAAAATATTAGCAGCCTGTATACCTTTGGAGATGCATGCATTATCCAGTTTTCTTCGACGATAACGAAATGTATAAAACAAAACCACACATCGGAAAATTTCCAACTATAAATAGATCTTTGTTAGAACAGGGCGACGAGCCTACTTGGTGTATAACTCTTACGATAGTACGGTCGGCCTCGTTTCAATTGAACGAATTAAATGCTTCCTCAAAAACGACCGACCGTTTCTTGCACAACAGTGGTACTAGTGATGAAAATAGCTTGAATCTGTATCGGTGTTTGTTATAAAGGTCTATAAACCTTATTATTAGTTTCTTTTTTTGTAGGAAATAATGCGTAACTCCCCCCCCCCTCCTCAAATTTCACAAAAATAATAAATAGGTAGGGATTTTAAAATAGCAAATCAGGGCCATTTTCTCTCCTTCCCACTCCCTGTACTACAATAGTTTTAACTGAAAATTTTAAGGTAACAGCTCCTGCAAATTTACCAGAACAAATAATAAGTTTAAAAATGGCAAAGTTTCATTACCAAATACAAATATTGTTTTTTAAACTGAATTTATAAAAGTTCCTGGAGTCAAATTAAAATTTTAACGTTAATTGTAGTTATAGGTTGGTAAAAGAAAATGAGAATAAGTATAACTTTGGTAAAAACTAAACTTTACTGAATTTCAATGGTTTGGTAAGAAAATTAAAGATGTCAGCTTTTTTATTGTTATCAACGCTTCAGTCTAACAAGAGTGGTTGCTAACGAAACGTTTAGAGCTTTAGTAAACGTAATCCGTTCTTGAGTGACTGTTGTGCTGCAGATAAATTAAAACACGTCTGAATGAAAAATTGATTCTGAATTATTTTATGCGTCGTTTCTGGAAGGCACCAAATGTCAATTAGTAAATACCGTGTTACAAAGAAATTAGGCCTAATTAAAAGTCACGATAGTCTGCCAGCTAAAATCTTCCGGTTCCAAATACGTGGGCTTTTTCAATGTAGCAAAACCTAGACTGATTGAATGATCAAGTTGTTATTCATAATGCTAAATTATGAATACATTTGAAAAAACTAAACCGTTGACTGAAACGATCTACGTCATTTAATTACGAAGTATTTGTTGTGTGTCAGGTTTTCAAGTCAATAGCTAATCAATATTTTCTTGGGCTACTCTTCTGACCTAATAGTGGGATTTGACCATCACGTTTATAACGTCAATGGTTCCAAAGTGCACAGTGCGATTTTGCGGTAGTAGAATGCAAACCCCGGACTCTAGGCTTCACAGTCTGACACGCTGACCACTGGCCACACTGACAATGGTATAAATCAAACAAAACTTTAGCTAGTTAATTGCTCGTAAACAAATCATATGTCACTAAAGAATTATCTGATTCATTTTTGTGCTTAGAGTGAATTAACGTATCTTTTTTTTTCTCTCACAACAGTCTTAGAGAAAAGCTTATAAAGAAGTGTTTTGGTTGATAGTTTGATAACTGACAAGTGTGTACTTCATGAACACAACTTTGTAGATAATATTTTTTTTGGGGGTGAAAGGCCTTGTTGGTCTCGATATGGCAGATATTGTGTGGCTGACATATTATTCCTGTTCTTCTTTGCTTTCATTCAGAAGTTTGTAAGAGAGATTTAAGAAGTATATTTTCAAAAAAGGAAAAGGCGCGTGTGAGGCCTAGTGGTTAGCATGCCTAAATGTGAGTCCAAGGTTCGTGTCCCGTTGTTACATAATCGTATCCGGATTATGCGACCTTAGGTGCGTTATAATAAGAGTGACGGTCAAATCCTACTATTTGATTTGAATAACTAAAGAATTAGAATGTCTGACTGTTTAGTGAGATTTGACTGTTCCTCTTATAGCACACCCATGGCCCCCAAAATATGGAGCGTGTTTTTGCGGCAACGGATCTCGAGCTATGAATACTTTAACACACAGTCCGGGCATTTTGTGCTTTTTAATCAAATTCGGGTCAGTGCAATTTGATAATACAGGGTGTCCGAAACGTCTGGAATCACAGGTGTCATATACGTGACTGTCAAACCACGAGAAGGTCGATAAGATCCAAACTCGTTTCGAATTACAAGGACAGCATGTGGAACACATTATATAAAATTCGTTGAAGTGCTTATGGTTCCAGACTTTTTCGGACACCCTGTACATTGGCGCCTGTTACTCATAGGGCTATTTATTATTTTGTTAATTGCAATTATATTGTAGATTTTTAACAGCTCTTCTGGTAAAGGTTATTACATAATTAAAGCATGTGCGAAAATGAATCATTTCAAAGATTAAGAGACTTCATCATACTGACATTTTGCAACTTCCAAAATTGATACAAAACTAACCAAAGGTATTTTTCAAAACTGTAAATTATATATATATATTGAACGAGGAGTTTAAGAAACACTTTAAAGTTTTATATAAAATATTCTTATCGGCCTTTGTTTCTTCGTGTGAAGAGACTAAAGCTATTAACCTAGTAATTTAAACATCTGTCTTAAAATCTTGTTAATAAAAGTATTTTCGTAAGATATACATGTCAATAAATGAATCAGTGGCCGTACTGTACATAGATGTGTGTGTGTGTTTTGAAAGAGGCTGGGTAGGGTACTGTTACACAATGGCACGTTTCTAATTAGGGGAAGTAGACTGTTGCCTAGGGTCTAGCGCCTGTGAAGCATGGATGGACACCTTTTTTGCAATTATGTAGCTTTGATGGGAAAAATAGCAAAAAAGCGAAACCAAATAATATAATAATGATAATGTGATACATTTTATATCAGAATATAACGAGGACAATATTAAAACGCAATGAACTATTAGTATTATTCAGAAATTAAAATTTAGAGAGAAAAATTCATATAAAGCCCCTGCCTTCCGAGGCCTTGCCCCTGACCCTGCTGAAGGAATTTACAGCGCTACCCCAGACTCCCTCCCCCCTTCTACCATCTAATCTTGCTTGCGTCACACATTCGTTTCCGCAATTTGTTTTTACTTCTCAAACATAGGAAGGGGGTGGAAGGACTTCTCCCTGTCTCCCTAGGGCTCCACAAAACCTAAATACTCATCATCCACTTAGTCTTGTAACAAGCTACCCTCGTCATCAGTGTGTGTGTGTGTGTCTATATATATATACATATACTGCTTCGCTCACGAACCTCATCGTCCTCCATTTTGGAAGTTCCCGCGCCTAGAAACACGCCCTTGTGTCTATTTACCGATGTCTTAATATCAAGTTTATTGTCGAATATTCACGTTAAACTTCTTAAGGATGCTATATTATTACAACTGAATTGAAAACAAAGTTGATGACGAAATCACATGTTGATATCTGATTAATCTACACCACCCTCTGGTGATTCGTTCACAAACTGTATGCACGCTCGCGCATCTTTCCATCTATCGGGATTTAGATTGTGAAGACCTGGGAGGTTCAGGTTGACCTCTAGTTTATTTTCGAATATTCACGCTAACCAACTCGAGGATTTGTTTACGCTAGTCATCCCTCATTTTGAAGTGAGGTAACTAGTCAACAACACCCACTCTAGACTGACCGAACAGTGGGATTTGACTGACACACTTATAAGGCACAAATAGCGATTTTCTTTGTGTACGATAACTGGACGCAGATCCACAAGTCGGCAGGCTGGTTATCTGCTAAGTCACGTCCGATTGGCGACAAGGAAATCAATGTTCATCTTCAGACTTTGGAAAAAGAATGACCCAGCGTATTCTGTTCCTTCAGACGAGTCGACGCTATTCCTTTAATACTATTATTAATACATTTACATCCCACTCCGGTAGCCCAGCGGTAAGTCTGAGGGCTTATAATAATAAAAATTTGGTGTCTTTACTCGCGTTGGGCAGAGCACAGATAGTCCATTGTATTGTATAGCTTTTTCAAATAAAGAGTAACAATATTAAATAAATTAACATATCGAGACGAATTCAAAGTGACACAAAGAGCCTAAAACAAAGTTCGTAAACTATCATTGATTATTACCATACACAGACGAGTCAATTAATAAAGATTTCCGGAAATAGAATTAACATAATGCCCTTCACCATTGTGTTTTATGATCAGTTTTCTTTCTTTTTTTTGACAGTGTGTTTCAAGAAAATGGAATCATATCTGAAGTAAACTGTTAAACTAATGGATGCTGCGGTGTGTTATTTTCGGGGTATCTACTTGGAAGACATCGAGCTTAACCTAATACTAATGTGTCGGACTGTGGGACGAGGGTCAGTGGTTCGCGTCCCGTTGACGCAAAACGATCGCGCTTTGCACTTTGTAGATGATAGTGGGTCAGATCTCACTATTTGATGATAGAAACCCATGAATTGGGCCGGCTAGCGCAGATATTTCTTGTACAGTTTTTCGCGAATATCCGAGACAAGCATATACTTTGTCCTTAATTAAGGCGTCAATCAGGAGAGCGGGGTTCTTCTATACCGTTGAAAAAGTCACTGCATAGAAATGAAGGAGAAGAGAGCGTTGAGTTTTATCCTACATTTAAACGTCACTGCATACATTGTTTAAAGTTATTCAACCGAATCTTCGCAAATTGAGTCACAAGAAAATAAAAAAAACAAATTTAAGTAGTGTAGAATAAGATATATTTACAGTGGACAGTTCCAGCATCTGTTCCTGCCTTCAGGGCAGTTGTATATTTAGGTTTGTTTTAGTGGGTTTGATGACAGTGCGTTGACGTGTAACGTTACAGGTCTGAGATTCAACACTTAACAACTGAGGTGACAATCCCAGGAGTTGTGCCGACAGGGGTACTCACCCCTCATGTGGAGACGGACTGCCTCGTAGGAGGTAGAAGAGTTATTTTACTGATGCTACCAGTGGCCCTCTGGCTATATACAGTCCTACTAACTCCCCCTTTTTTTTTGCTTTTTCTAGCTACACCATACGATACTTTGTTTTCCAGCAGTTGCATCTCCTCTGAACATTGATGAAAAAACCTTCCACAGTTGCCACTTTAGCCTAAGTGGTGTGGTGGAGGTTGGTATCCTGCCCGGAGAGATGTGCTGGATTTCATAACAAGCTTGTCAACTTCCTTGTTTAACTCTGTACCTGCATAGCATGTCTGTCATATTCATTGCCGACGACGGTAACTTTTGTTTTTGAAACCAAAGCTTTTTTTTAAGACAGATATAAGTAGATAGAAATGTGACATAAAAATTATTTCATGATGAATTTCTGCTCGTACAATGGTTTGAATAATTAGCTTCTAGAGGCAGGGATGATATCAAATGTTTTAATCAAAGCTGACATCGACAATATGAAGTAAGACTGGAAAATAACCTATACCAGTTATCAGCTTTTATAAGATCTCCTAGCGGACTTATAACGCTAGAAACTGGTTTTTTAATACCCATAATGTAGCTTTGTGCTTAATTACAACCAAACAATCCCCTAGTGGATCTGCGTTAAGTTTACGGACTTACAACGCTAAAATCCAGAGTTCGATTTCCCCATTGTGGACAGAGCGCACATAGCCTATTATGTAGCTTTACGCTAGAAATTATAATAAAACAACCGCAAATAGACAGTGCCACCAACGCAGGCAGTACTGCGTAGCATTAGTGGTTGGTCCCCAGATGGATGGAAGTAATGCATGATGATAACATCACCTGGATGTGGTGACAGATTTTTTTTCTGTGGGGTATAGCGTACATACAACATTCGTAATAATTAAGTACGACCTTTTTTTTTTGGCTCTCTACACAGTTTGGTCCCAAATCCCGCCCATGTATATTAGCATTTATACAATACAGGGGGATCAACCTCCCATCCCCGACTACACGCAATCCTTCCTATGCTATTATATACTCTTTTTATCGGGAAAACCCTAAGGCACACAATAAAGATTATAGTATTTAAAAATACAGTAAGTCTAATGCTATTGTCTTATATTTTTTATATATTTACATTTTCTTATCAAGAAGTAAATGTTTTCCTGAAGGTCAAAGGTCAGAGTAGAATAGCAGTATATTTATTGTTGTCTTTCGACATATTTATCTTATTCCCTAGTGTGTCTATTTAAGGCCCCTATCATTAATTAGTATTACGTATGTATGTCAGAGGGTCAGCAGCAAGTTTACAGACTTGTAACGCTAAAATCCGGAGTTCGGTGGACAGAGCATAAGCAGCTCATTGTGTAGCGTTGCATTAACAAAACAAATGGTATATTAATGATTAAACTTTCGTCAAATTTTAATTGATTTATTGTTTAGTTTTAACTTCAGTGTAGCTGTTATATTTGAATTTGCTATTTGATTTCCAAATTTATTATAACTAGTTCACGCTACTTAATTTGGGTAAATCAAATTAACAAATGAAGTGAGCTGAAACATCATTTTTCGAACATAAAATGTACACTCTGCTATTTCACGTAGTAAGTTGATTGAAAAACAAAACTTATGAAATCAAATAACTGATGTTTCCTTTCCTGAAACATTGAAAAGAGATTAATGGCCCTTACTCAGTGATAATTACATTATGAATTTTAAGGAATGAACTTTGACCAAATGACCCTTGCCTACCAAACTTTACGTTTAAAGTCACGGTAATAACTCCATCAAAGTTAGAATAAATGCAGACTATATATGTATAACACCAAACTCTTGACCGAGTCTGTTATTGTTAC